GAAAACTCAATCAAAAATAGAGAATTCAATATCTGAGTTTTTTTTTTAAGCCCTCTAGAAGCAGTAAGTAGCAGACTAAATGACAAAGAAGAACATGTAAAGTGATCTGGAAGATAGAATAATGGAAATCATCCAATCAGAGCAGCAGACAGAAAGACAAATTGAAAAAAAAAGCAACATATGTGATCTATGGGATAATATTAACCATGCCAACGTTTGCATTATAAGGGTTCTAGAAGAGAGAGAAAAGGGCATTGAAAATGCATTTGAAGAAACTATGGCTGAAAACTTTCCAAACCTAAAGAAGGAAAAGATATCCAGGTACAGGAAGCACAGAGGGTCCTAAACAAGATAAACCCAAACAGACCCACACCAAGATATATCATAATTGAAATGGCAAAAGTGAAAGATAAAGAGAGAATTCTAAAGGCAGTAAGAACAAAAACAAGTCACATACAAAGGAATGCCCATATCAGCTGATTTCTCTGCAGAAACTTTGCAGGTCAGAAGGGAGTGGCATGATATATTCAAACTGCTGAAACAGAAAAGCCTCTGCAACCTAGGACCCTCTCTGAAGCAAGATTATCATTTAGAACAGAAGGAGAGATAAACATCTTCTCAGGCAGGCAAAAACAAAAAGAATTCAGCAATACTAAACTTACCCTAAAACACTGAAGGGTGTTCTCTAAATGGTAAAAAATAACTTATAGGAAAGGGAAAATCCCATTAGGAAAGGCAAATATAGACTAAGGATTGAAGGTCAGCTTCCTCAGTGCACTGATGCCATTTCTTTATTAAAGGTGTTAATAAATAAATGAGATGGGGAAACATACTCAGATTAGGAGTTAATAAATGGCTCAAACATTTCAATACACTGAAATAAGCATCAGGTCAGAAATAATAACCTAACCATGTATTTCCCTGTTTTGCAGGTGTCTAGCCTAGATCTGCTACTCAAGTGAAGAAGGAATATAGTGTTTCAAAGCCTCGGGAATGCCCACGATTAGGGAATATTGAAAGAAACTCTAGGCACTTAAACCTGGAACCTAAGAATAAAATGGAAAGGATCCATAAGCTCCCTGAATTGTTTATAGATTTGGGCGTACATTTATTGGCTAAAGGGGTAAAAGATAGTTTCAGTAATTTCTCAATGTTCATGCCAAAATTATTTTTAACCTAAAAATTTAATTTAACTTAATTTAATTAAAAATTTTAATTAGATTAAACTGTAATTCTTAAAATTAAATTTTAATACACTACAGTTATTTCATCAGATCTGCTGTCGAGGAAGATGCAAGAGGATACAAATATAAAACATGCTCAGTGAAGAAAACAGAACTTAATCTAGAAGGTGTTTGAAATGGTTTTAAGTAGGGACTCAAACAGATATTTGTACACCAATATTCATAGCAGCATTATTCACATATCCAAAAGATGGAAACAACAGAAATGTCCATCAACAGGTGAACAGACAAAATGTGATATATACATACAATGGAACGTTATTCAGCCTTAAAAAGTAATGCAGTTAGGACACATGTTACAACATGAATGAGCCTAAAAGACATTATTCCAGGTGAAATATGCAAGATACAATAGGACAAATATTTTATGATTTCATCTATGTGATGTACCTAGAATAGTCAAATTATTAGAGAAGTAAATTGTCTTTACCAGGGGCTTGGGCAATGAGTACTGGGCAGTTACTGTTTAATGGGTACAGAGTTCCAGTTTCAGATGATGAAAAAGTTCTGGAGGTGGATGGCAGAGATAGTTGCACAGCCACGTGAATGTACTTAAAGTCACTAAACTGTACACAAAAATGGTTACAGTCAATTTCATTTATGTATATTTTGCCACAATTAAAAAAAACTTAAATTTCAATGGAAAAAAATTATTTTAACAATCTGAACAATTACAAAGCCTGAAGTCACCTTCAAAGTTTTGTAACTTCTCAGAATTTTGTTCCTCAAAGATGCTGCTTAATAATGGATTTTTTTAAAGTCAAAGCCTGAGCAATACTTCAAATTGAGCAATCCAGAGCTTAAAGTCCTAAATCCACTCAATGCTGTTATTAACCTGCCACGTGACTTTGAGTTAATCATTTGCGTTCTCAGAGCTGCCATTTCCTTCTCTGACAACAGAGAGGAGTTGATAAAATTTATGAGCTCATTTTTGCTAAATTCTTTAGATTTTAGGCACTTCCTACATCAGTATACACAAACTCATGGGCAGGCACTGATTTTTCAAGAAAACAGATCATCTCAATGATAGATTCTGATCTTAGCTGCACAAATAAGGGACTCCCTGAGAAAGCTTCTTTAAATTTCAGATATCATAAGAGGAGATGTCATTTATGCTATAGAAAAATAAAAGTGATCCTTACCTATTAGAAAGCTCATATATGAATAATACATCTGGTCAACAGATTTTCAAGCCAAATTATAAAGTAGTATTTATCAAAGCAGTCTGTGACAATGTGTTCAGGGTTGCTTGGGATGGAGTAGAAGTCCAGTAAGGGAGGAGAAAATGGGACTACAGAGTGTGGAGTCCTGGTGGACAGAGCCCAGAAGTTTTCCTATACCTTACATAAACACACACACACAAACGCACATATGCACACACACACAAACACATATATGTACACACCCACCCTTTTCATTCTTTCAATCCACTTAGACTTTTGGGGAAGGGTGATTTTTTTTCCTGTGTTATCATATCTTTTTAAAAATGGAAGTATAGTCAATTTACAATATTGTTTTAGTTTTTTAAATAAACTACTTGAAAAGCCCTTCTATGCAAAAGACATTGTTGTTCTTTGCCTGGAATACACCAAATTAAGAGTTCATGAGAAAGGATACCTGATAGCAATAAATTTCCTCTCTGGAGAAACATGGTGACATTATGACCGTGGTCTTGAAGAATCTGAGAGATCCGGTCCATCAGTAGGAAATGGCTTCCACCTAGGAACAATGCACAACTTGCTTTTTATAATGATAAGCGAAGAGGTCCTAAGATTGATGCTGATAAATCCAGGAGGGGGCCAGGTAGGGAAACAGAAAGTTGGTGGGAAGTAGAGGAAATGAGTTTCATCAGTCAGTCTCTCCAGCTCATTTTGAGTGAGCCCTCGCCCACCCACCCAGAGCCTGCTGGCCTGCTGGCCTTGACATGTGGCAAACTGCCATCAAAGAAGTTTCCTTCTTGTGACTCTGGTCTCCTGTCAGTGTGAGAAGCTTTTCATTTTAAGGCCCTAAAGAATTCCTGATCCTAAGGTACACACTCTGCCTTTTAGCCAGGGACTTATGGAGACACTGTGTCCTAAAGAAACAACTACACTGGTGGAAATTTGGGCACAGTCCTATGCATGTGAGTGTGAAGGGTTCCTAATGGACAATCAACTGGAGCTATTTCTGGAATCCTTCTCTCTGGAAAGGCATGCTAGAGTAGGAGCCAGAAATATGGGTGCTTGAATGTGAGTCCAAGAAGCAGCCATTGAAGCAGAAGGATGTGGGGCCACCATTTAGAGCCAAAATGCTTGAGATTCAAATGTGTTGGGCAGAAGTTTCTCAGTTAGGGCCTGAATTTTTCACATCCATTAAGACATGCAAGATAACTGTGGGGCCCGTGGGACAGACCTGCAGGACCCTAAATGCATGGGAGACTGGGACATCCCCCATCCTAGGACAATCCTGGGATTCTAAGAGAAGCTTCACCCTTGGGAGAGGCACGTGCTCCATCGCACTAACCTCTTCTCTTAGAACTGCTCCAACACAGGGACTTGGCTTGAATCTAAGGGTCTCAGCAGCAGAGAGGCCAAATCAGGAAAGAAGATAATGGCAAATGACAAGAGTCTGGAGATTGAGGTTAGAGGGGTATAGAGCTAGAGAAACAGTGAGTAGCTAATTTCCAAATTTTTAATATATAGACTTGTATAATCTGCAGTAACAGGAAATAATAAAGTAGAAATCCTCTTGCCCACATTTTAATCCTAAGACCTGGGGGTCAGGAAGAAGGGGTGATGGCGGGTTCACCCAATCGCGGAGGGTCTTGGTGAGCCCCAGCACATTCTGGGGCGCAGGCGTGGCTTCCCGCACTTCACAAACCACACCAGCTCCCTCTCAGAGTCTGCGGAAGGAGAACAGTGTACTTTCACGGCGTGAGGGAGTTCTTTTACATTATCACCACAAACAGTCAGAAAGAAAAAAGATTTCGAATGGAGTTAAAGAGTGATTTTGAAACTCCCCACTGAAAGGTGGGTGACAGCGGAAGCTCGGGGAGAATGGTATTTGGGTAAGAAACCCTGAGTACATATTGGTATGTACCATTAGGGAGGTCTGCTGTGCTCTTGCAATAGGCGCCTCACTTCCCTGACCCTTAGTTTCCTGCTCAGAAAAACATACTGGGAACTGGATTAGATGATCAGTGGTTCCTTCCAGCTCTAAGATACCCAAGTCTCAGTGATCTAAAAGTGGTCTAAGAGAGCCCACAGTGGGTTAAAATAAAGTCTTAGGGAAGACTTTATTACCCTATGATTACCCCCTGTATCTTGATACATTCCTGTGGATGAAAACACTCCACTCTCCTAATTGTCATTGAAAACTCTTCCCTGCTCCACCTAGCTCCTATGCAGCCTCAGAAAATTACCAGTGCTGCCCCCAGGAGCACCTTTCCTTGGCCTCTAAGAGGCTGCAAACGCTAGCTAGCCACAATCGTGTGAGCTTCAGAAGTTGTGAGCCTCTGAATTTCCAGCCTGCGCCCTGGAGGAGGAGTCCGGAGGTCTCCTGCACTGGGCTGGATCTCAAACTTCTGGCCCCAGCTCCGCACTATGGAGAGCGTAAACTGAGCAGCAAGAGAGAGGAGAGGGTACTCCTGTTTTCTTCAAACTATCCCGTCTACCTCGGTGGCGGCAGGGCCCCTTTTCTGCCCACACTAAGGGCTCCCACCTTTTCATCCGCCGGCCGACAGGGTAAACAAATCCGCCCAGACTGGAAAAACACATGGACCAAGGGCTGTTTGCCTGAGCCCTGGCGCGGGTGCCTGGGACAGACCTGTCTCTGGATCTTTAGCCGCTCACTCACCCATCAGGGACAGAGTTAGGATTTTGGCGGTCTCTGAAAGCAGGAGCCCAGGCAGTAGGAATCCGACGAGAAGCAGCACCCGCTGTCCCCGCATCCTCGCTCCGTGTTGAAGCTGCGGAGCCGAGCCCTGTGCTGAGCGTCCTGCGCTGAGAGTGTCCTGTGCTCCGCGCCCCGCGTCCCGCGCGCGGGGCGAAGGAAAATGTTGCGCCGGGAACAGAAGGCGCTCAGGCAGTGAAGGAAGGGCGCGGTCTGGAAACTTGGGGAAAGGTAAGAGCTGATCCTGCCCGTCTTCCCTTCTGTTTGTCCCTTCCTGCCCTCCTCCCTCAGGGCGGACACCTTTGGATATTCTGTCCTCATCCTCCCTACATTTGGGTAGCGGAAAGGAGGGGTCAGTGAGTTGATCCTTAACCCATTGCTGTCCACATAATCTTCGTCCTCCCTGTCTGGACAATACTCTGAATCAGGAATGGTAAGGACCTTGTGAAATCACGTGGCTGACAGCTCCACCTCCAAGTGACTTGAACCTATCTCTGTTTTATGGACGCTTCCCCGAATTTATGGTACCCCCACCTCCTAACGGCTCTAATTATTTCATACTGCCATCCCCATGGCCTATTTCCCCAGGTGCCTGCTTAAAACTCTGCTAGTGTCCTCAACTCAAGACCTCCCTAAGCAAATCCCCAAGGGAACTTGACCTACCTTTCCTGGATTATAGTTTTGAACACCTCATAAGGAGGTAATTTATTCATGAAGAGGTGTTAAGAGTCCTAATTCTGAAGTCCAGGTGGTCACCTGGAGGACTGAACCTCTAATTCTGAATGAGCTTCACAAAATAGGTCTAGAAATCTCTCCAGAGTCTTCTCAGGCACAAGCTGGGGTCATCGTGTAATTCTGCCTCTGTTTTTCAAGATTTGACACCCAAAGCAAAGGCAACAAAAGCAAAAATAAACAAGTGGGAATACATCAAACTAAAAAGCTCCTGCACAGCAAAGGAAATATTTCATCAACAAAATGAAAAAGCAACCTACAGAATGGTAAAAAAAAAAGTTGCAAATCATCTATTAAGGGGTTAATATCCAAAATATACAAAGAACTCATACAACTCAATAACAAAAAAATCAATTAAAAACATATCCTTGGACGAAGGATATGAATAGACGTTTATCCAAAAAAAGGCATACGAATGGCCAAAAGGTGCTCAACATCAATGATTGTCGGGGAAGTGTAAACTAAAACGAAAATGAGATATTCACACCTTTTAGAATGGCCATTATCAAAAAGACGAGAAATAACAAGTGTTAGTGAGGATGTGGAGAAAGGGAACCCTTGTGCACTGTTGGTGGGAATAAAAATTGGTGCAGCCCCTATGGAAAACAGTATGGAGGGCCTCAAGAAATTTAAAGTGGAACTACCATATGATCCAGTAATTCCACTTTTGAGTATTTATCTGAAAGAAATGAAATCACTATCGTGAAGAGACATCTGTACTCCCTTGTTCATTGCAGTGTTATTCACATTAGCCAAGATGTGGAAACAACCTAAGCTGCTGTTCCTCAATGGATGAATGTGAAAAGATGATGAAGTATATAGATATATTTATATAATGGAATATTATTCAGCCACGAAAAGAATGAAATTTTGCTATTTGTGGATGGACCTTGGGGGCATCATGTTAAGTGAAATAAGCCAGACAGAGAAAGACAAGTAACTTATGATCTCACTTACATGGGAAATCTAAAAGAAAAACAAAACAAAAACAAAACAAAAAATGAGCATATAGATACAGGGGATAGATTGGTGGTTGCCAGAGGCAAGAGGTGGGAGGTAGGCAAAAATGGGTGAAGGAGGTCAAAAGGCAGAAAGCTCCAGTTATAAAATACATAAGTCATGGCGATGTAATGAACAGCATGGCCACTATAGTTAATAATACTGTCTTGCCTTTTAAAGTTGCTAAAAGAGTAAATCTTAAAAGTTCTCATCACAACAAAAAAATGTGTAACTATGTGAGGTGATGGATGTTAACTAGACTTATTGTGGTGCTCACTTTGCAATACACACAAATATCAAATCTTTATGTTATACACCTGAAATTAATGTAATGTTGTATTTCAATTATACCTCATAAAATTTTTAAGTTAATTTTTAAAAACGAGTAGAAAACAAAAGCCTTCAATGGATTTCATGTCTACAAGTTGAAATGAGTCCTTGAATTCTGTTTATACTATATCTTCTATCTACAGGTCTTTATTTTCCACCTGAATGGAAAGCATTACATTCTTACATGCTTGGGCATCCTTCACATAGTCGTGGCCATTGTGGTGAAAGAGAGAGAAGTGGGTCTTTGCCAGCATCACTAGTTTCCATCCCATCTATTCTTGTACCTCTCATAGTGCATTAGCAAAATAAAGGATTTTTTAATCCAACTCCAAACTTACTAATTTATTCAGCAATTTTATCAATAGCTAATTGTGTTCCTGTTCTGCTAGACAGACAGATGCTAAACACAATAGGCAATAAAATACATAGTATATAATGGCAAATGCTATTAAGAAAAATCACACAGGGAAGGATATGTGAAGGGTCAGGTATCAGGGGTATTAAAATTTTAGGTGGCATAATTCAAACGAACTCTAAAATTTTATGAGTATCAGAGAAATAGGAACACAATATTTAGATGCATACACATTTACAATAACAGTGTCAGGTACCATATGTTCCCAGTGAAACAACTCATCTTCATTATGAAAATACCAATTTTGTCTCTAATAATGCTTTTCACCTAATCTATTTTGTCTGATGTTGTTCCTAGCTATTCATGTTTTATTTTTTCCATTAGTGTAACATGACTTCTCTTTTTCTATCTTTTTATAGCCAATCCTCTTGTATCCTCACGTTTTAGATGTGTCTCTGACAATCTGTTTGATGTTTTTAATCAAGTCTATTGAACTCGATAGGTTCAACTATGAATAGATAAGGTTATCAAGAGGGAAAAAAAGATCTTTGGTCAGTTTTGTTCCTAAAGGATCAATTTCCATAATTAATACAGTTTCTTAGTTTTCATCATCCCAGTCCATTTGGGGACCAGTTAATGGAGACATCTGCCACAGGTTCAATATGCCATTTCACATTTGAGCAAAAAGAAATTGTCAGGCAGGCAAACATTCTAAATTTGCTCATTTTTGGTAGATATGAAACAAGTCAGACATATGAATGAGTCTGTCCATATACTGTACATATCATTTTAATTGAGTATTTTAATAGTGGGAAAAGAATCACTATTTCATTCATCCTCCTCTTCACAACATAGTGAATGATATCACTATCCAGTGACAGGCAGACGTAGATACCTAATGATGTGAGGATAATCTGCAACTACAGTCTCCTTAATGTGTGGCTTTTATTTCCTGGTGATGGGCTTAAGGGTTTATATTGTCCAAACTTCTGGTTTCCTGTTGTCCTACGGGTCCCACATTTTCTCTAGTTGCTTTTTTTTTTTCCACCCAGCATCCAAAGAGTGCTTCCCTTCCCTTTTACACTCTCCTCTCTCAGAAATGAAGCATCTCCAAGGCTGCTACCTTGGTTCGCTCATGCTTTTTTGTCCCTTTCCTGTTGCCATAGCTTTGATCTACCACGACTTTTTTTTTTAGGATTTTTATACAGAATGTAGATTTTCCAGGCAAAATTTTAGCTCATCCTTGGGCTTTCTATGGCCCTTTTGTCTTTTCTGGACTATTTTTCTGGACTTGCTAGGTCTCCACAATGCTTTGTAGCAGGAGCTTAGGAGGGAGCGCTGCTAAAATTTGACGGTTAAGTCTTCCACTTATGGAAAGGTGTGGTGTGGGTTTTCTTTGCTTGTGGTGGTTGATTTTCTTTATAGTATAAATAGCATTGAATTCCCTGTAGTTTGTGGAGGGCAAAGCAAGGAAAAAGTCCTTGTGGCATGTTCCACTTCCTCAGTCCTGATAGCTGCGCCAGCATTTTACAAATCTTAATGCCAAAGGGGAGGACATTAGCAAAGAGTGGGGTAGGCTTAATGAGGGAACAGTATGCATGAATGCTCAGGTGAAGTCTAGCACCTATTAATGAGTCTAAAGTCCCCATTCTCCCACACATGTGGGGACATTTTGAGGTTGATTCTTAACCCTATCACTTGTGCAAATTCTTTTGCACAGAAGTTCTCAGAGCTGTGCTAACTGAAAAGAGAATCCATTTGCAAATCACCTTTTCTACAAAACTTTAAATAAGGCAACTTTCACCCTCCTTAAACCATGAAGGCTTAGTTCCCACTCCTTTATGGCAATCGTCCCCTGAGGGACAGCATACCTCCCTCTCTGTACTGTCCTTGGAATCACCAGCTACAATTCCACCCCCTCTTCTCTCATCTGCACAGAAATCAAGGCTGTGGCTCTGACAGAGATCATCCCCTCCTTCTCCCTGCCTGTGGTCCCCATCACACTTAGAAAGTCATTAAGGCCAATTCCAAGCCAGGTGCCTCCTCAGGCCCAGCCAGAGACCATCACCAAGAGAGCACAGTTATTATTTTCATTATGTCCAAGATTGTTTGCTGCTTTGGTGTATAACTATAGACCAGGACAAAATATCAGAACAGAAACAGAATAGAAAATTCTGCTTTGACGAGTCCAGCACCGTAGAGTGTTCTTTGACCATATGTCGTGTCCTTCAGACACGATAGGTTAGTCAACCTGACACCCACTTCCAGATCCCATAGTCCTCAGCAGCTGCCACTGCAGAGGTTTGCCCTTACAGCCTTGCATGCCCGGTGACAGAATTCTGGGCAATGAAGACAGAGACTCTTAGCCAGGTGGAGGGGGAAGATAACTCTGTGAAAACGTATTCTTTCCTGATCAAAGGGGTATTTGTAGCTTCCTAGGCTTTAATGGGAGTTTTCTGGAGAAGCAAATAGAAAAGCAAAGAATTTGCATAGTGTCTGTCTGTTATTCCATGAAAAATGATGGTGGCAAGAGTGAGGAGGAAAGGCTAAGAAGACATCAGCGTGGAAGCTAGAATGTTGTCTCAGTTCCCCTCTGAGTGCCCTAAAGAGGCACTTCGTGTGTGAGAAGGAAGGCGAGTTTCAAGGATTAAAATCTGAGGGTTGTTTGTACGAATTACCCAGGGACAGAATCACGGAACAGCCCTTGCTGATTGGCAAATAAAAAAGGCCACAAGTACCAAATAAACTCCAATCATAGACGAAGCCAGTGAGCAGGAATTTGTAGCAAAATTAGCAAGTAGATATGACACGGATAACAGGGGTTGCTAGAACTGGTGGCAGACTCCAAAAAAATGGTGACCTCTACACACA